CGCTGGGGGCCTACGCCACGCAGCTCCCGTTGCCCCGTGTTTGCACGCGCTGGATCAACAAACCGCCGTTCGTGACTGCCCGTCGCTCATAGCCAGGCACTAAACGCCAGACGGGCTCCGAATGCAGTCGATGCCTGCAGAGACAGAAAATATGCCCGGTTCTGTTTAAAAGTGGGACATACCGTGGAACGTTTTTTCAGAAATATTTACGCATTTTATATTGCAATTTTATCTTTTCATTTTATTAATATTATTTTTTCAAGCCATAAGATACCTTTTACAAATTGGTAATGCTACTAACTTGCGTTTGTATAACATATTTTCTAAATAATTCGAAAAAATATTGTATTACATTTTCATTTGTCGAATTATTGAATAGAAGGTGAAATAAAGCGCGTTCTGTTTAAATAATTCTTTAAGCTAGAGATATAGTTATATGTTCACTTAGTTGTTTTATTAGAAGTATTTTTCGAAATTTCTCGTCGAAATTCATACCTAGCGCGACATATTACCATAAAATAATAGAAAATTTGTTATTTCTAAGTCGGATTTACGTAACACTTTTATATAGATGTGGTTGAATTGTAAGCAGTCATTAAGCTGGTTTAGATTTATAGGATATACGGATACATTTTTTCAATAATTATTTTATAATTAAGGCTCACTAATCAAAAAATATTGCTCTCAGATGAATAATTATACTAATAAGTGCTAATATGCAATAAAGTAAGAGCACTTCACTTCTTTCTCTTTGTAATGAACATGGTGATTAGCATGCTCATTTTTCATAAATGCTATAGACTTACTCTCCCATGAGTAAACTTTTTCGGGCTCTCAGGGCATTCAGGGCAGTGCCATGCAGTTGGCATCAATCTGGGTCAGTGCACATAGCCACTCGACGCGACCACGGCGATGGCGGTGAGTTACAACGCGCCTCGGGACTGGCGTCCGCGGTTTATGAAACGTCACTGACGACGCCCTTCTGTTGCAGCAGTGGTGGTGGATTTGTTCGCTTCAGTTGGCCGATATGAATGCGATATCGGTGCAATCAACTTAACATCACGACAAAACTGTTCGCCCTCGTTTTGTACGTTTGCTATTAGAATAGATTTAATTGTATCGTTAAGTTTCAATTTCACCTTCATATATTCGGTAACAGAAATGCTCCAACAATTAAGTGAATAAAGTGTTATTTCCATTTCAAACCTAAATTGATTCTATGCACATAAAGCGTTTCCCGAGATACATTCATTTCTTTGAAGATATTTGACATTTTCTGAAAATACCTATATAACAATTGACTTTGTGTTGAATATATGTTGATGAATAATGCAACATTAAATTTCAGCATCATAGTTGTGAGAGTGCTATGTTATTTTTAAGGCATTTCAGGGAAAATATATTTATATCATTTTAACTTTCAAGAATAAGTGATATTGATTACATGTCCGTCCAGAAAAAATCAAATAAAATCTAAAAACTGCTTTGTGATACATACTACTCTCATTTTTCCTTTATCCTTCGTTATTGCTTTGTAGACTCAGGCCAAATTTGGGTGCAAGGACTAACATATATCAATTAGTTTTGGGGAATATTTTCAAAATACTCTTCTACATAAAATAATCATGTAATTTACTCTCGAAAAAATCTAAATTTGACACTAGGTTAAATTCTTTGGAGTTACACGGAAGTATATTAGTATAATGAATAAGATCCGTCACAAACGCAGCAGCTAGCAGTGCTAGCAGACGACAGGTGCGTAGGTTTTGGAATGGAGATTAAGTTTAGAAGTGGTCGTTTCGATTGGTTGCCATTATGCTTCACTTTAAAAACAAAGATAAGGGCAGTGGATATTAGAGCATTGCTCGTCTCCATTTCTAAGGCTTTGCACAGTTTTTCGTTTTGATACCGTTTATTTTTTTTCTTCCTCTTTCTCGCATCTCTTTTTCTCTTACAATACCTGCTCCGTCTCGAGGTCATTGCTCGAAAATTTTCATATGCCACTCTTTCTTATCATACATTATTCCTCTCATTTGCACAACCTGCAACTAATTTCTCATATCTTCGTATTTAATTGGTGTTCTTGTCATCTTCTTTACTGTGTCATTCTCGTTTCTCGTTTTCGCTGCTCTTTAGGAGCCTCCGCATCGATCGGTCGAGCCGCATCGCACCCTTTCGTCCTCTCTCCAACGTTACACATTCTAAATCAGTTCGCCCCTACCGCGCTCAGCGCCGGGGCTTATTCCATTGGCCGTCATTAGCCGCAGTTAATGAGAATAATATCTTTGGCCCTCTAGCGCCACCGCAACAGAGAGCGCGCCTGTTTCGCCTGCCCGCCCTCCGCAGCCAGGCTCTCGGCAGAGCGGTAGTCAGCTTAAGCGCTCAGACTACGACGCAGAGATTTACGGTTGATCTGCGGGTCGAGATTACGGTCGAGTCCCCCTCCACCCTCCAATTACGACCCCACGAATATGAAAGTTGGCAGCCACAGGTACGAGGAGCAAGAGAGCTAATCTCGGAGAGATTGGGCGGAGCTACTTGACTAAGGACGTCGACGACTTACTGGTCTACAAGACTCAGCTGTACGTTAAATCCCTTTTCCTACCTTGTTTCTTCGTAACACAGCCATGCAAATCTAATTTACCGAATCGTGTACAGGGCACGCTTGTATCTCTTTCGTTATTTTCACGAGATATTATTTTAAAAATTCAGGATCACTTGGAAAAAATATCACCAGGGGCATTCATAGTATTTTCTCTTTTACCTACATCATTTCTATTTTGCAATGAATACTGCATTGAAATCTTAAGTCGGTAATCTAAGCTTGTTTATATAAAACAAACTACGACGCACTGAAACCAAAACTAATCTCTTGTAGCGAACTTTGGGAATAAGGAAATACAGTGCATTTTTGAAATATAAGTTAACTATGGCAATGGGATAATTTAGTGATGGTAAAGATAATAGCTTGATCTATTTTAGGGACGATTTGGATCATAGTATATTTGTTATTTCACAGCCATAGAGAAACGCCTCAGTTAAACTAATATTGACACACTTCCACAAAAACTAGCGTCTACATCGTGTGCAAAATGTATCGCATTCTACATCGTGTAAATAAGCGCATCCATACACTACAGTTCACGAATACTTTAAATGGAATGGCATATTATACACCTGATATTAAAAATATTCAAGCAAGGGAAATAATGGCCACAAATTAATTTCTTACGGTCGAGGAAGTCGTCAAAATGTGACTTGTCGAGCCTATCACATTAATAAGAGCGCATAGTCATTTGAACCTTTTCTTTGATATAAATATATTGTACAACAAACAGTAATAAAATCAATCCAGACTTTCTTGATATATTATTGCTGGGACCAACACTTTATTTCAACACGGAAGGGAACTTTTAAGTATTGTTAATAGCTACAACAGCACAGCACTTTTTAGATTCCTGTTACTTACTGAGAGGAATTTAAAACATTTTATAGAAAATACCATTGTTCAAATAAATAATTATTTTAATAAAAATCGATGCTTTTATATTTCATTTTGTAAATCGAGGCACATTGCAATGTTAGAAACACATGTAAATGTTTTTTTCATCAATATACATAACATTAAAACGCCCTGTTTTTGTTTCACATTCTTTTAACAAAAACATTAAATGACGTGTTTCCGCGCTCTCAGCCTACATCACCAGCGACGGCCGCGAGTTCTATCAGAACGGGGGCGCTTAATAAAGCGCTTGTTCGGCGGAGGGGCGCGGGTAAAAGGCGTGCAATCTCCTGCAAAGCCAGAGACAAAACGCGGAGGTTGCGCGCGGGATCTGCAAACGGAACTCGCGCGGCCCACACAATGGCCACTGCGGGACACGCCCGCGGCGCGGCGCGACGGCGGCGGGCGTGGACGTGGCCGGAAACGCGAATAGCGGGGCAACAGGCCCGATGGCACAAGAGACGGCGAGGAAACGGAACGTGGAGGCGGAGCGAGTAGGACAAATGCGATTCATTGGGAGAAGGTGTGCTTGTTGAGGACGAAAGGGGGGATACATAGAGTATTTTGTGCTCACGTATTTTGTGTTTGGTTATTAGTCGCGAGAGTGTAGTGTATGTTATAACCGGAAAATGGAGGTGCCCCTCCTCTGGTGGAACGTCATGTCCGATGTCGACCTACAAATCGGTATGCTGTGGTTTTTCTGTTGGCGGAGGGCGTGGACGTGAGGGCGGGCACGGAAACGTCAATAGCGGGACAAAAGGCCCAATAGAAGAAAAGATGGCGAGGAAACGGAACGTCAAGGCGGAGCGAGTAGGACAAATGGGATTGAATGAGAAAATGAGGTGTGCTTGCGGTGGAAGAAAGGGGGGATACGTAGAGTATTTTGTGCTTCCGTATTTTGTGTTTGGTTATTAGTCGCGAGAGTGTAGTGTATGTTATAACCGGAAAATGGCGGAGTTCCTGCTCCAGTGGGACGTCAGATTTGGCACCGACCTACACTTTGGCCTGTGGGGAGATTTCGCTCTCCAGATATCTACCGCAATAGGGGCGCCATTTCAGTCGAAACAAACTCTGAGCTTCTGTTTTATGAGGCAGCGAGAGATACGGATCAGGAACGATCGTGCGCGATGCGTACCCTGTTTGTTAAGTCCTATTCCGGCATTCGCGTGGTAGTGAATCCACGAAAGAATCCACGGAAAACTATCAATCAGAACAGCCGGCGCTAAAATTCTCCTCCAGACAACGGCTGAACTCGGCCTTGCTATTCAGCTAGTGTCGTAAATCCGCTACAGTCGGGACTTGAATCTTAGAACTTCACGGTCAGAGACGCAACAATTGTTGTATTGAGCCATCTCAGCCATTGACAGAAAGGACGTAGCCACAATACGAAGAACTGAAAGAATGAGGGGATTCGTTGAGTGAGGGGGACAATGTGCCGGCGAGAGGCATCGAAAAGGAGGATAAATATGATGAGACGAGATAGGATAAGATGGGTTAAATGAAACGTCATAAGAATGCATTGAGAAGGAGAGGAGATATGCCAGGTAGGGAGAAACAGAAACCAACGAGAGTTGTGAAGAGGTGGGAGAAGGACAGTGCGGCGGTGAGAGAGGGTTTGGGGAAAAACGAGCAGAGTGCTGATGAAGCGCAGGTCCAAAGTGGGGAAAGTGTAACAAGGGCGATGTGTAGTCGCAACAGGGCGGGGGACGGGATAAGAAGTTGGCGAGTTTGGTTAGAAAATGGAATCGACAGAGTGGGGCGAAAGGGCCTGGGGAGGATGAAAGACCACGCGAAAAGGAGTTGGAGAGCAGTGGAGGAGCTTGAAACGGGCGAGGGATCCGGAGGCAGCAAAGCTCCCGTCCATCCTAAGCACGCCTTTGTCTCGGCCCTTGTAAGGCATTGTGCGTTCAGCATTTCTATTGCGAGAAATGAGCCCCTGGCTCATTACTTTTCGTGGGGATTTACAGTACGCATTCTCTGTATGCGTTCTTCCGGCGATATACCCCCAAGTGTTTTGAGCTAAAATGAATATTAAAAGTACGCAATGTGACATACAACGGATTTTTAAATTGAGAATAGGATCATTACTATTGCCGAAAGTTATTTTATTCGCAATTTTAGCACTAGGTTACTCACAACCACTTTGCTACTAGACGAATCGAAGCTCACAAACAAAAAAAATAAAAAATTCCGAATTGACAATTAATTATTAATTTTCTAAACCTAAATCTAAATGTAATCGACGCAAACAATATTTAAAACTTCTAAATCATGCTTTTAAAAGTTTCCTTACGTTCTTTTGACAGAGATATTCACAATATGAGCGCGAATCGTTAATTCAGACGAAAAAGGAGAAAAAAATGTTTCATATTTGGCTCAGAAATTTAATTAGTGATAGACTCAAACATGTATCTGCTCTTTATCACATTTCAAGAGCGAACTACATCGTGCATTTCAGAAATAGTAGTACAATATTGCGCGTTATCTATTGTGTATGGTCGGTCGGATTCACTGTCAAATATTTCTCGTTACTTCCAATTCAACGCGAACTCTAGTTGATGAGCTCCTCTCCGTTCTACCAATGTTTCCTGACTAATTGAGATGTAATAACGTTCTACTAATGAACACAATAGTCACGAAATTGATATGCGTTTCTAGCATTGGAGTGCAAAGCATGGTATGTAGTTCCGATTATAGCCTTCATGCCACTATTATCGTGAAATACCACAATATCACTAACAAACGTCAAAATTCATCATCTACACCATCCATTCATCGATTACAACATCCATTCAATGTAAGTCGCAAAACTCTCAAACAGTTTCTTATCTTAGTATTACAGTATAATTATTATTATTAACTTGATTGGCCACATTGGACCACTTGAGTAGTTCCACTTCATTTTTACTGTTCATGGTCGACTGTCGAAGGTTTTCACCTTGAGGTGAGGATAAATCCTCGAGTTACAA